TGGGATCTCACTCGTGGAGATCTTTCATTTAGGTTTTTTTTTTCCTCCAGTATCTTGGCTTTCCATGCCTGAAATACTCTCATGGGCATTTCAGCTGGATCCGCATGCCTTAAGGGCTGATTCCGAGGCCAGAGTGCTGTTAGGACATTTGCCATTCTATGGGTCTGCTGTGTATCTCACTTCCCATGTTGGATCACTCTCTCCCTTTTTTATTCTATCAGCTAGTATTTGCAGACACTATTCTTGTTTATGTGATCCCTTTGGTTCTTAGTCCTATCATTACAATCAATTGTGAACAGAAATTGATCACTGGGACTAGTGAATGGCATTGGTACATGCCACCTCAATGGGATTGAATTAGAATCCCCTGGTATGTTTCTAACTCCACCGTTTGAGGCAAGTCAGCTTGAGCATGTCCCGAATTGCACATCTCTTCCCTCTCTTATTCCCACTCTTATATTTAACAGTGATCACTTTTCAGTTAAGTTTCAGCACTTAAGAAGAATTGTGTATTGATTACAGTATTCAACCAAAAGTATTAAGTAGAACAAACAAAAAAATACTAAGAGGGATAACATATTAAGTTGTTCATCCTCCAATAGCTAAAGCAATCTTGTACAATAAAAACAAAGCTGGAGGCATCACAATACCAGATTTCAGGACATACTACAGGGCAATTGTAATCAAAACAGCATGGTACTGGTACAGAAACAGATGGATAGACCAATGGAACAGAATTGAAACACCAGAAATCAACCCAAACATCTACAGCCAACTCATATTTGATCAAGGATCCAAAACCAATCCCTGGAGTAAGGACAGTCTATTCAATAAATGGTGCTGGGAAAATTGGATTTCCACGTGCAGAATCATGAAGCAATACCCCTACCTTTCACCTTACACAAAAATCCACTCAACAGGGATTAAAGACTTAAATCTACGACCTGACACCATCAAATTATTAGAGAGCATTGGAGAAACCCTGCAAGATATAGGTACCGGCAATGACTTCTTGGAAAACACCCCAGAAGCACAGGCAGTCAAAGCCAAAATTAACATTTGGGATTGCATCAAATTGAGAAGTTTCTGTACTGCAAAAGAAACAGTCAGGAAAGTGAAGAGACAACCGACAGAATGGGAAAATATATTTGCAAACTATGCAACTGATAAAGGGCTGATAACCAGAATCTACAAAGAGATCAAGAAACTCCACAACAGCAAAACAAACAACCCACTTAAGAGATGGGCCAAGGACCTCAATAGACATTTTTCAAAAGAGGAAATCCAAATGGCCAACAGACACATGAAAAAATGTTCAAGATCACTAGCAATCAGGGAAATGCAAATCAAAACCACAATGAGGTTCCACCTCACCCCAGTTAGAATGGCTCACATTCAGAAATCTACCAACAATAGATGCTGGTGAGGATGTGGGGAAAAAGGGACACTAACCCACTGTTGGTGGGAATGCAAACTGGTTAAGCCACTATGGAAGTCAGTCTGGAGAATCCTCAGAAACCTGAATATAACCCTACCATTCAACCCAGCCATCCCACTCCTTGGAATTTACCCAAAGGAAATTAAATTGGCAAACAAAAAGCAGTCTGCACCTTAATGTTTATTGCAGCTCAATTCACAATAGCTAAGACCTGGAACCAACCCAATTGCCCATCAACAGTAGACTGGATAAAGAAATTATGGGACATGTACTCTATTGAATACTATACAGCAGTCAAAAACAACGAAACCCAGTCATTTGCAACAAGATGGAGGAATTTGGAAAACATCATGCTGAGTGAATTAAGCCAGTCCCAAAGGGACAAATATCATATGTTCTCCCTGATTGGCAAAAGCTAACTGAGCACCAAAGGGGAAACTTGTTGAAGTGAAATGGACACTGTGAGAAACAGTGACTTGATCAGCTCTTGTCCTGACGGTTGATGTACAATGTAATACTTTATCCATTTTAGTATTTTTTTTTTGTTCTAGTACCATTGGTTGAACTCTGTAATTAACACACTATTGTTCTTAGGTGTTTAAATTTTAACTGAAAAGTGATCCCTGTTAGGAATTTGGAAAACATTATGTTGAGTGAAATAAGCCAATCCCAAAGGGACAAATACCACTTGTTCTTGATAGGTGACAACTAACTGAGCACCAAAAAGGAAACCTGTTAAAGTGAAATGAACACTATGAGAAACGGTGACTTGAAATAAGCAATCTTTAGGAAATATAAATCATGATACCAAGAATTATTTTATTATTAATATTACCATATATCATGTAGAATTAGCTGGTTAAAATACAAAGAGGAGCAATAAAAAGGTAGGTACAGGGCAGGCATTTAGCTTAGTGGCTAAGATGCCAGCACCGCATTGAAGACTGCCTGAATTTTAGTCCTGACTCTGACTCTTGACTCCAGTTTTGGTTTCTACCAATGCAGACTCTGGAAGGCAGTGATATTGGCTTAAGTAATTGGGTTCCTGCAACCCAACAGGGAGACCTGAAATGTGATCCCAGCTCCTCCAGCTCCAGCCTAGAATCAGACATTGTAGGCATCTAGGGAACAAACCAATGGATGGAAGCTCTAGCTCTACCTCTCAAAATTGAAAGAACAAAATAGAAAAGAGTACCTTATTCAAACTAGTTGAATACATTAGAAATGAAGATGGAATATTACTAGGAGATAATCACTTGCTTCTGCAGCTCTTCCCCAGTGTGGAAAGAAGGAATAATTGGACCATCCATGAAATTTTTTGATCAAGACACACTAAAGACCCTCCTCTATATCCAGTAAGTGATAATAAAGGTGCTAGGGAAAGCCTTAAATCTGAAGACATGTGGAGGTGGTAGAGAACCTCTACTTGTAGGAGAAAGACATGCCCTTGGGTAAAGCAGAGCTGGAACTGCTGGCTAATACTCAATGGAACTTCCACTTGCTCTAAAACCAGGGAAATCTTAGATAATTGGGTGTGATATATCTATAGCTATACATAGTCTATAGGTAAATGTTTTTTAAATGAGGATCTTCCTCTCCATTGGTGATCCTCTGGTTTTGGCTGTACCAAATCATGAATATTCTTGCTGTGTTGTACCCAGTTGGTTTATATTAATACTGCAACTTGAACTGGGAGGGTGGATGGGAGAACTAACTGGGTGGGGGAGGGAGCGGGACGATAAGTCTTTTGAAGACATCAGCTCACTGTGCTGAGAGGGACCAAATTCAAGGAAACATCTGATCTATAAATTCAACTGCTGCATTTTTTTATAAATACATGTAAACGTCTTGTTGTAATATTTGATCTTGGAAATAAAAACAAAAACTTTTCAGTAAAAAAAAAGAAGAAATCACTTAAAAGATTCTATTATTAAAATAGTATGGTTATTGCATTAAAAATCACTCCTCAAATTCAAAATTAGAAACAAAAATAACTAGTATCACCATCATATATACATTCATATAAACCTCTATGAAATGTTTGATGAAAAAACATCACAGAAAGTAGTTACATAAAACAGAATGAGAGGACAGAAGGAACTTTGTTGTCATAGTTAAGGAACTGTTACTCAGTTGAAGAAAATATATATTAATATACAGATTAAGTTGGTAGATCATAAGATAGTAGAGGTAATATATAACAGTAATTAAAACAGTCATAGAATAGAAATGTAGCGATAATAGCTTTCATTTACTAACTGTGCCAAGCACTATGCTAAGAACTCTACATGTTTAGCTCTTTCTTGTTGTTTAGCTATCTTAATGCTGCCAATCTATGAGCTAGATACTGTTGTTTCACTTACAGATAGGAAACTGAGTATCAGTGATGGTAGGTAATTTACTTATTAATGATCAGGGACTTCAAATCCTAAATATTTACAAGTTTCATGCAGCATAGCACCTTAAATTCTTACTAGACTGCTGACTGTCTCACAATTATTCACTGAGGAAATCATCAGGAAGCCTCTTTGTCCAGTAGAAAAGAAGTCATTTTTGAAGTGATAGGGAAAACAGCCTCTGAGGGCAACCTGGGCGTATCTGAACTGCTATTGCTCTCAGTGCCCTGCCTTCTCCTCTACACCTGCTTTTCTGAATCAGCGCATCTTACACCTTATGTTGAGTTGGAGAGAGAACATCTCCACTTCAGTCACAGAGAAGCTTGGGGAGTGAGCATGCGCCTTACTTGCCTTTCAGATTAATCTGTCTATTCACGAATTCTCAGGGCATACCTGTTGCCCTTGTGATCATAATTAACATCTTAATAACCTAGCTTGGTTTAATACCTACCTGATTTTAATAGCTTACAGAAACCTTGCTCCAATATATTTCCAAAGCCTTCAACATTCTTTGTACTATTGTCAGATACACTATGTATTTAAACACAATAAAGCCATCGATATAAATTTGTGAAAAAAGGCCATCCAGGTTTTTCAGCATGACACAGAAAGAACCACCCAAACACAAGGAGGAGGTCATAATATAAAATATATATGTCGAAATATAATGAATGTCCAGCAGCTGTGGGGAAGGAGGAAGCTACTCTCAGAGGAATTCTCCATGGAGAGAAGAAATAAAAAATTTTAAGAAAGAAAAAGGAAAAAAGAGAAAAAGGTCTGTTAGGCATTAACTCATTTTCTTATTGCTCTCACTGACATTTTTTAAGTTTATACAGGTTGCTCATGCATGTGAAGACTGTGTAGGAACAAAATGTTATTTGCTTATACCAAGTTTCGGCACTTGTGTTGCTTCTAAGACCCTAGTTAAAAGAACTGGCTCTCTGCAATCAGGAAGCAATGCCTGAATGTGCCTTTGAGATCCAAGGCTTTTCAAAAGGGGGCAGAGTGGGAACCCTGTAACTCAGACTAAAGGGGAAGCATAGATACTGGGTTTGTTTGCTTTTCGAAGAATTGGGATCTGGGTGAAACTCTGCAAGGAAGCTTATTCTTGCAATAGCAAACCAGAGACACAGGCCAATGCCCCTCCCCTTTTCAGGTCAAGCCAACTCAAAACTGTGACTTTCTGATGGTTTTGCTGAAAATGAATCACAAATTTAGGACTGAAATCTGTTTTCAACTTTCCTATTATAGTCATTAACATGTCTAAAAGTCATTAATTAGACTGAGTTTACACTTGTTTTGAGAAAGAGTTAAATACATATCCCATGAAAATTTGAAATATTCTGCAAAATGGTCTGAAACAGAGATCAGTTTTGTTCCTGCCCTAGTATTAATGTATTAGTCTTAATTTCCATACATTTACCATGTTGTTAAACAATGTTATAGAGCAGTACCAGTTGAAAGAAAAGGCATATGATAAAATGCTCTAACACTATGAAAAGCTTTTTTGATAGAAATGATTCTATTCAGACCTTTTTTATGCTACTGAAATCCCCGGGAGTTTTGTTTTCCTTGGTTTTCAGATAATAGAGTTTAATGCAACTGTGGATCACTGTACACAGAAAAATATTTTGACTGTGTCACCTCCACCCCAGAGCAGAATTCTCATACTCTATTTTTTATTTCCTTTATAACAATGCCATGCATTTACAATTTACTTGATTCACTCCATACAATTTTATGTATGTCACATAGTCTCTTGGGAGAAAGACCTTCACTGACAGAATTCTATGTCACATTTCTTGCTGAGATGTTTTTCCTAGTCCCTTTAACACTAGTCTTATTTTGTGAGTCTGTCAACACTATTAAAACATTTTTAGGGTCATTACACTAGCTATTTACTTGATGAATATAAAAGCAAACATTAAATTATATATTGGTGTTTCATATTCAAAAATAATATGTTTTCTTAAAACATGACAGTTTACTTTGAGTTACACACTGATTTCCTGTATCTTTCCTATCTATGAGGCTCCAGTTTAGTTGGCTGGTGGGATAACAGGCTGACATGTGTTGGTGAGTTAGAGCTCACTGGTGACGTATTTTCTTCTAGTCATTAAAAAGGGCCAACTTTTCAGCAGCACTACAAAAAACAAATGAAAGTAATTAGATAAATTCTAAATCTTCACTATAAAACAGCCATTTTGATGCAAGAGGACAAGTCATATAACAGAAGAGTACAATACAGGTAATGGCCACTCATGTAATTTGGTGATTCAGAATTTGATTATCTGTGATTAAGAAATTTGCATTACAAGTGAATATGGATGACTTTTTTTTTTTTTTTTGACAGGCAGAGTGGACAGTGAGAGAGAGAGAGACAGAGAGAAAGGTCTTCCTTTGCCGTTGGTTCACCCTCCAATGGCCGCCGCGGCTGACGCGCTGCGGCCGGCGCACCGCGCTGATCCGATGGCAGGAGCCAGGTGCTTTTCCTGTCTCCCAAGCACTTGGGCCATCCTCCACTGCACTCCCTAGCCACAGCAGAGAGCTGGCCTGCAAGAGGGGCAACCGGGACAGAATCCGGCACCCCGACCAGGACTAGAACCCGGTGTGCCGGCGCCGCAAGGCGGAGGATTAGCCTAGTGAGCCGCGGCGCCGGCCCATGGATGACTTTCAAGAAAGGTAAATCCTCTGTTCCTTCCCCTATATCTCAGGACATTTTGGGCAATGAAATAGAGTACGCTATTTTTATTTGGAAAGTCTGATCTTAAGCTAAGAATCACAAGGAAGGGAAACTTTTTTAGAAGTAAGCCAAACCAAAACCAAATAAAGAAAATAAAACCACACACATAGAATATAAAAATTTCAACACTGCTGAGACACACAGTGGAAACTTTGAGAGAAAGATCCACTGGCTACACTCCTTATAGCATCAATGTTTTTGCCAGCAACTTACCAATTAATATGTATAGATTTCTCCTTGTATTTTTTTCACTCTATTCTACCCCCTTTATAGATACTTAATACATATGGTCTTCCCATTTCAAACTAAAAAGAACTACATGAATCTCTTGGTCATTATCAATATCAAGTTATACCAGTATGATCCAGGGGAGAGAGTGTCAAAATAAGTAAGATACCAGTATAAGTCACAATATCTCCTACACAACATCTGGACTAATACAGCTACTTTCTTGCATCAAAACTTTAGTATAAACAAGAGGATGTTTTACTTTTGTCTTTCTACAACTGCTGAAATTTGTCTCAGTTTTATTTTTAATGCATAGAGCTTTAGAGAATTTCTCCTCCGATATGCTTTGTAAATGATCTCCACCCAGAATGTTTCTCCTGGAACGACTTTTCTTCTTCTAATTTCTCATTCTTTGAAACAAACCAAAGATTGATTTTGGTTCCAAAATTATGGTATAAACTTTTTATATATATTGAGCATGCCATTTTGACTTTATTATACTTCTTAAATAGGAAAATCATAATGGAAAATAGGCTTAAAGATTTTCAAAGTAAAATAGTATCGTCCTATTATTTCATAAAGTTCTATATCCAAAATCGAAAAGTGATTAACAAGAATTTTTAATTCTATGTCTTTTATATAAATGGATAATGAAAACACTTTTGAATTCTCTTAAAATACAGCATCAAGTTTTTATCCACTTTTGACTAAAGATTGATCTCTTTGGTAGATTATCAGCAAGTTTCCAGAAAGTCTTTACCACTTCACCACTTCTGGGGCACTGAGTGAATGTGGAGAAGTTTGGCAATATGAAAAGAGAATTCTGTTACCAAATCTGATGACCTTCCTTTTATTCCTGGCTCTGTCTTTAATTATGTCATCATGATCAAGTAGAATCTTCTCTTTTTCTTCAGCTATATTACATAAAGAATTTGACTACGTGATTGCTAGGATACATAAATTTTTAAAATGTTTTCCTTATTTCATCCCTTCAGTGATGTTTTAGAAATATTTTCAGTGCATACTCACACTCATTAGTTTATGAAGAAACTATAATAAAATATTGATATAGCTTGAAGATGACTTGACTCCTGAATTCATACTGGACTTTAAACTCTGAGTCACAAGTTAATGGTATGAAAAGGGTGGAAAACTTAACCCAAGGTGAGAAGGTAGGCCTAGCGGGAGGCTCTTTGATCATTGGAAGGTGTGTCCCTGAAAGCAGTCCTGTGAGAAGTTCTCAGAATACTTTGTTAACACCTCCTAAACTGTGATTTATTCAACAAAATTTAAGATTTTAGTTCTTTTTTCCCCAAAGATCATCTGTCATACACCAAAGATTAGTATATGATTTTTAAAAATCAAGGATTTCACTGTGCATTGAAATTCAGAAATAATTGCAATGAAGCAGAAGTAAAATTGTATATGTAATGCATACACCATGAGGGCATTTAAATAGGAGCACAAATGACCTCAGAGTGAGGAAATATGGTGATGGGTAAAGGGCATTTGCTACACCTAATAAGTGCCTAGTAGAAGTCTGATTCTACGTCTTTCTATAATTCCTGTCTCTTTATATGTTAGTGTAGTTTCGCTTTTAATTGCATCATTAGTCTTCACAATAGACATGAATGGGTTATATGTCATTTTTACTATATTGGGGCATCCTGAATTTATCTAGACAGTTACTCTGACAAGTGAGCTTTCTCTCTTCTGCTCTTTTAGTTTTCACACATTAGCATCTCTTCAAGTTTGAATAACACTTGAACATTTTTCACAGCACAGATTTACTGGTGTTAAATTCTTAGCTTTTGTTTGTGAATATCTTTATCTTTCATATTGAATGAATGGCTGTAATTTGCAAAATATTTTTGGCTGGCAGGTTCTTCCTTCTCACTGTAAAAGCCTCATCCCACTCCTTCCAACCCTGTATGGTTTCCTATGAGAAGTCAAGGTAGGTCTAATGGAATGTTATTTATCTTGAATGATTTAGATTCCTCTTGTTAAATTTCTGCTACTTTATTATAGTATATCTTGGGGTAGACTTGATTCCAAAGTTTCTATAAGTTTTCTTCATCCTTTCTGATTTTTAATTTATTTTTGCCTCCAGCTATGTACTTTCAAGTAGCCGATCTTTGAGCTCCCTGGTTCTTCTGTTTGATCTCTTCTGCTATCGGTGCCTCCGTGTATTTTTGTAGTTTCACTTAAAGTATTTTTCCTTAGTGTTAAGATATCCAAGTTTTTCTATTGTTTAAGTTTTGTTCAAAATTCTGTCCTCCAGGTCACAGATACTTTCTTCCACTTGGTCTATTCTGCTGTTAAAGCGCTCTTTTTATTTCACTGATTAAAGATTATTGTTTCCAAAATTTCTATTTGGTTCTTGATGAATTCTACCTCCTTAGTCATATTTTAATTCATGTCACTCATTGGTTTCCTCATCTTTTTAATCTTTCTGTATTCTCCTGTATCTCACCCAGTTTCCTTACAATCTTTACTTTGAATTCTGTATCTGTCATTTCATAGATTTCCTTCAGTTCAGGATCTTAGCTTATTGCTTTGGCTTAGTTTTAGGTGAGCCAAAGTGTGCAGGCTCTAATTTCTTTTGATTTAATCAATGTCAGCTGTGTCTATAAGCAACACAATAGTCTAATTTGCTGCATATAATAGGGATAGAAGTGTGGCTTTGAGATGAATAAGGATTTTCCCGAGTATGAGTCTTTGGACCACAGCAAGTTTGGTGTGAGTCTCCTTGGCAAATGTGATAGCCAAGTTCTTGTTCTTGGTACTGAGGGAGATAAAGGTGGCTGCCCCATTGTCCTACTGGTAAGCCTAAGTGCTGCTGGGACTTGTGGCTCCATTGCTGAGGCTCTAGGACTGTGTGATATGGATAGACCCTTCCTCAGGTCTTGCTGGGAGACTCCAACTGATTCTGTGGCTTATAATGCCAACAACCCTAGTCCTAGGACTAGAGGATATGTACTGAACCATTTTCAAGTCATCCAGAGTGACTACAAGTTATACAGATTTTACTCTGGAGGTTATGAGTCCGGAGAGGTGGAATGCAGGTAGGTTCTTCCCTATGTCCACCAGGTAGATTCCAGGGTTATTGAGAAATTTAGAACTAGTTGTTATAGTCCTAGTGTTGCAGGGTATGGTAGGATCTTCCAGGATAGGAGCTGATTTTTTATTCTGCTGCTGCTTGTGTTAGTTCCTAGAAGCCCATGGGAATCCCACTTATGTGTAATGTGTGAAAGTAGCTCTGGGGTTAATGATCCCAAACTCCCACAGGTGCAGGATATCTGTCCTTTGCCCCTCACATTGCCAGACTCAGACTGTGATGCTGGTGAGAGCAGAACAGAGGCACTCTGAACAGCTTTCACAGCTTTTCACTGTCTCATATGGTGTCTTGCTCTTGTTGGGGAAGGGAGGAAAGCAATATAGCTTCCCTGCTCCTAGTCTGGCAATTGCTCAGACCCTGGGTCAGCTCTCCAGGCTCAAGTAAAAGTCAGTGGGTGACTGTGAAACACCCTTGCAGCTAAAACTACAAGTGGCAAGGCATGTAGCAATTTCTTTCTCACTCGCTGCAGCAGTGTCTCTATCTTTTCTTCTCTTGTCCCATGGAGTATTGGTGGTTTTTTTTTTCAACTTCTTTGATGAAAATTTCCATCATTTAGACCCCTGGAAACATAGTCCTTCCTTTGCTCTTTTAACCCAGAGCAGCGTAAGTTAGTGTGGCTATATCTTATTTAGCCATTTTGTATTCCTCTCACTTGGGGTATTTTAATTTGAAAGATTTATATTTTGTTTTTTAATTACCTCCATCTCTGTCAATTCTCTATACAAGCATATTAAATTTTCTGTTTTCTCCTGAAGTTTGTTGTGTTTCCTTAAGACAGCTATTTTAAATTCTTCACTCAAGCATTTGAAAATGTCAGATCCTAGGAGGTTAGTTTCAGGTACTTTATTTTGTTCATTAGGTAAAGTCATGGTTCTTGATGCTCAAGAGTTCTTGATGCCTGGTGTCATTCAATGTCATCTCCCTTTAAGGGGTTTTTTATTTCAAATACTCTTGATATGACAATTTGTGGTTGTCTTTTCAGGAATTCTAAGCAGACCACTGATTTTCTGAGCCTGTAGACATTTCCACCTCTTCAGCACTAGATGGTGGCGTA